TTTTCTTTGTCTTACTTACTTCTTCTGCCTTCTTTTCCTTGCACTAATCCTCTGCAGCTTCATCTGCAGATAATATCGTTTATTTTGATGTATTTACCTCTGGGTTTTCACTTTTAATTCGCTGATCACTCTGTGAAAGGTTGCACAGATTTATACATATATTTTAAAAAATTAATTGACCAGTTTAGGATTTGGATGAGAAGATTAGAGCCACCGTGAGCCACATTATTTTTCCAGCCCTGTAGAGTTTCTTTGATATTACTCAGCATGGCTAAATCTTGGTCATTATCTTTCCTCCGTCCTTCATTCCTGATGGTAATCCTGCTCCTTGTTTAAACTCTATCTAAGGAAACATAAATTGCGCGTTATCATAATCATGTGCAGCCATGGGACGACAGGGGAGCTACCGCCTCGTGATGGGAGATAAGTGTGATTTATGCTTCAAATCTGTACCCGCATTACCGAAGCAACATAACGGACATATCCCCAAGTTGATTGCACATTAAGAGAGCCAGAGGCGCTTTCCGTGTTATTAGAATGTAAATATACCATCTGAAGCAAAAGTGAGCGATATACAATGTGAGTGTAATGAAGTCAAATTAGCACTGGCATGATGAAGAAGACAAAGCAAAATAAATACAAGAGGGGATTTGTGATTACCGCGCTGTAGGCAAAAAATATGAATATTTAAAAAGGGCTGAAGTACGAATGAGAGTGAAAAAAACACAACCCTCCAAGTCCAAGTCCAAGTCAAGACCTCATTAACTACTTCCAAGTTCGAGTTGAGGTCCTATTAACTTGGAATCCTTGGACTCAGGTTGGACTTAGGTCCGACTTAGGTCCTTATTACTTTTGTCCAAGTCAGGTTCTGATTACCTAGGACTCAAGAACAAGTTGAACATTTTCTGTGTCCAAGTCCAAGTCAAGTCCTCATATTTGTGTCCAGGGCCAAGATGAACCCTTATTACCTGCATCCGGGTCCAAGTGAAGTCTCCATTACCTGTGTCTAAGTCCAAGTCATATTACCTGTGTTCAAGACCAAGTCAAGTTCTCATGACTTGTGCCCAGTCTAAGTTTAAGTTGAGTCATTACCTTGGTCTCAGGTCCGAGTCAAACCCTCATTGTCCCTGTTACCTGCTTCCAAGTCCAAGTCAAGCCCTCATTACATTCGTCCAAGTCAGGTTCTGATTACCTTGGACTCAAGACCAAGTTGAACATTACCTGGGACCAAGTCCAAGACCAAGTCAAGTTCCCATTACCTGTGTCAGAATATGAGCTGAGTCTCTATTACCTGTGTAGGATTTCAAGGCAAGTCCATACTAATTGTGTCCAAGTCCAAGTCAAGTCCTCATACCTGTGTCGAGGGCCAAGATGAACCTTCATTACACATGTCAAACTCCCAGTCAGTTCCCTATGCTTGTGTCCAAGTCAGATGCAAAACCGTATCGCCTATGACATGTTCTAAATCCAAGTCCAGGTCTCATTTCCTGTGTCAGAATATGAGTCGAATCCCTATTAACTGTGAATTATGCCAAGTCAAGTTCACACTAAATATGTCCAAGTCAAGTCTTCATACCGGTGTCCAAGTCAAAGTTGAGCCTTTATTACCTGCATCTGAGTCCAAGTGAAGTCTCCATAACTTGTGTCTCACTCCAAGTCAAGTCTCCCTCACCAGTGCCCAAGTCCAAGTCATATTACTTCTGTTCAAGACCAAGTCAAGTCTTCATGACTTGTGCCCAATCTAAGTTTAAGTTAAGTCATCACCTTAGTCTCAGGTTCAAATTAAGTCCCTGTTATTTGTGTCTGAATTCAGGTCAAGTCCTTATCTCTTGTGCCCAAGTCCAAGTCTAGGCCTTACAATCCAAGTTGAGTCCTTTTTATTGACACCCAAGTCTGAGTCTGAGTCGAGTCCTTACCAAATTGGGACATTTTGGACATAAGAGACTGTCTTTTAGACTCTAACAGATCCTGTTGACGTGTTCTGATGGATAAATTATTAATGAAGGGAAAATAACGCATCGAGTCATAAGTCATGAACATCGGTACTTGAGTCCGACTACCAAGAGATTTGGGTAAAGTCATTACAGTAACTCAATCATGCGACGCCGATCTAACCAACCCCTGAGCTGTAACAGCCGAGAGTCATCAAGCCTCAAACAGTTGCCTCATTTCTCTTCAGCGCCAGAGTGTGTGGGTAAAACACGCCATCAAAGTGACACGTTGCAATTAAACAGCGGCGGGCTGTCATCGGCGTGCCGTGCCACAGGTGTACAGGGCAGCTGTAAGTGTAATTGCTACAGGCCTCCAGGATGACGCCGAACCCTCGTCTCCTGACAACGACAGCCTCACTGAGAAGACCGGCTATGGAGGAGACTTGTAACACCCTGACAAATGGTTATACAGCAGTTGCCAAATTAACACTGACCTCCCTCCCTTTTGCTGTCTGGTGAGGGTGATAATGTGCAAAGTCCTGTCGGGAAGTGCGCTTAATGTTGAAGATAATCTGTCTATTATGCGGGTTCGACATTAGTGAGGGAGTGAGCGAGTATCAATTAAATTTTCTTTTCCGTAGCAAATGGGAAGCATAATTTTTTTGACAGCGATTCATGCGGGGAGATTTAATATAGATTCTGAGGTAGCTATATGAGGATACGACTGGAAGTAGTTCAAATGTGGTTCCTTTGCAGCAGAAGCCCCCACTTTATATTGCTATGGTGGAACTAGATGTGCTTACTAATTGAGTCTCAAGGAAACTAATAGACGGAGAAGAAAGGGAGAAAAGAGAGAGAGAGTAAGGAGGGGGATTTCTCTTCATAAACAGTGTTTACTTAAAGCACCCCATCGCCTTATTAGTATTAATAGCAGTGACTTCAGAAAGCTCATATTCAGCCATTGGACAGTTTTGTATTATTTATGATTGAAATGAAAGCCTGGGAATGCAGCAGCGAATGGGAGAGAGCGCCGCATAGAAAAAGATGTTGCCCATGCCGGTTTACATAACCAACATCTTGGGTAAACAGCAGATTAAGCGCAGCACGAGGCGGGGGGAAAACAAGAGCAAAATGTTATATCCACACAGTAGCCCGTACCGAGGCGAGAGCTGCTGATTTTTTCCCTTTTTTTTTTTTTTTTGGTGAACACTGCGGACCTTTTGATGCAGCTGGTCTTCATCTGCAAGTCCTTTTGAGCATGAAAGTGTGGTGCGGTGCAGATTCTCGCCTCCAGAGCAACTTCTGCAATGTTGACGTAAAGAAGTCAGGTCGATGCAAGCTCACGTCGAACTTCGTCTTAATTAAAGACACCATCTGTTAAATGTGATTATTAGAGCTGGTAGTTTGGGCATGAGAGCGAGCGAACGGGGCTCTCATTTTCCGCTCTATTTACGTGCAGCAGGGTTCGAGGTCAGGCAAGTTGAGCTGGATGTTAGAAATCCCCTGCTGAGGTGCCTTTGAGCAAAACACAATCCCAGTGGGGCCACAGTTGCTCATTTTTTAAGGATAACTGGTGTATTTAGAAGTTGAATTTGACTTATTTTGGAAATATTTTCCTCTGAAGGAGTTTTGTTTACAAGTCTCCAGAGAACATCCGAAAACTTTCCTTATGTACACACTTCCTGAAAACTCTCATCGCTTAAATCCAGCTCAGTCTCAACCACTTAAATCAAGGGGTAGAACTAATTGGGTGCAATAATTTATATTTGGCAGTACGGCTTTCTTCTGATGCTCCCTGCTCTTCTACATCCCTTTTTATGTGCACAAATGAAAACCAAAGTAGGTAGAGCAGCAGCAGAGATATCTGAAGGGACTTGGAGCCTCCTTTACCTCTTTCATATGCACTATTACACAGTATGTTAAAGCCTCGGGCAGGTAGAGCACAACTACCCTCTGTTTCTGGTCCAGATATTAGAAGTTAAGGCAGGGAGAGCAGCAGCAAAGACTCCAGGGGTACTGAGGGTTTTCTACTTTTTCACATGCTGATGTTAAATGCCAAAGCCTGCAGCCAGACGAGCACACCTCATCTTCATGTGTTCATGTGCATAAATGAGAAGCCAAGGCAGGAGGAGCAGCAGCAAAGACCCTTCGAGGGGCCTGAGAGCTCCCTGGTCTCCATGTGCACTTGTTGAGTACCACAGCCTGCAGCGAGGAGAGTGGATCTTCCTTCTGTTTCATGTGTATAATTGAAAAAGCAAAGGCAGGGAGAGCAGCAGCAAAGGCTCCTGGGGTACTGAGAGCTTTCTACTCTTTCACTAGCATATGTCGAATTTTAAAACCAAAGACTTGGAGAGTGCAACTCAACTATCTTTATTGTGCGTGAATAAGAAACCAAGGAAGGCAGAGCATCAGCAAAGATATCTGAAGGGACTAAGAGCTTTCTTTAGCTCTTTCATATGCATTATTATAAATAAAAGCCTCATGCCGGTAGAGCACAACTACCCTCTCTTTCTGGTCCAGAAATTAGAAGTTAAGACAGGGAGAGCAGCAGCAAAGACTCCTGGGGTACTGAGAACTTTCTACTCTTTCACATGCTGATGTTGAATGCCAAAGCCTGAAACAAATGTTCATGTGCATAAATCAGAAGCCAAGGCAGGAGGAGCAGCAGCAAAGGTCCTTGAGGGGACTGAGAGCTCCCCGGTCTCCTTGTGCACTTGTTGAATACCACAGCCTGCAGCGAGGAGAGAGCATCCTTCTGTTTCATGTGTATGTTTGTTTAAGCAAAGGCAGGGAGAGCAGCAGCAAAGACTCCTGGGGTACTGAAAGCTTTTCCTCTTTCACATGCATATGTGGATTTTAAATCCTAAGAGTGGAAGAGTGGAACTCAACTGCCTTTAATGTGCATGAATAAGAAGCAAAGGCAGGGAGAGCAGCAGCAAAGACTCCTTTCAATGTTTATAATTTTTCACCACAACACAAAAGAACCACCACAACTTATATTGAATCAATCTTTATTTATATTAAATTAAAAATATACTTTTGACAGATTCATGTAACAAACATGAGGAACGGTATTTCTATGATATAAAGCTTTGGGTGTGTTTTCAAATAACTCAAGACACAAGAGGGGGTAAAGTATCGTAAGCTAACGGAAAATTGAGTTATTTGGGGTCTCCTTCCCACTCTAGATCTCCCCTAAAAGCATGCAAAACAAAATCGGAACTTAACTAAAAAGAGAGGTTTTATTGTGAAGGCTGTGCTCTGCCTTTCAGAGAAGAGGAGGAGGTCAGACTTGGCTCAGTAAGATTTCCAGTAGAAAGTTAGCAGAGAAGAGAAGAGAATCCCGTTTTTTTCCGGGGTTGGTTGGCAGCACTGGTCTCAGTTTTATTGGGAAAAGGAAAAAAAATGTTGGCTTGTCCTTGGGTGTTCCCGTTGATGAGTGACAAATGAAATGGGGCAGGTAAGGGGGAAACGAAACAGACATATCAGGTAGACTTAATAAGCCGGCCGACTTGCGAACGCCGCCGCTTCAACAGTGTTCTCCTAAAGTGAAACGTTAACGTGAGGACAGCCACAAATCTCTGGGGGAGAGGACCACTTAACAGAGTTTCCACATGAGAAAAAGGGTTCAACAAGCACTTTTAAAATCAAAGTCCCATTAGTCAAAAAGGTACACTTACATAAAGCAAATATGTACGCCTCTTTTTATACAAGTCGTTATAAGCAGGAGAAAACAGCGGTAGGAGAGAAGACCATATAAATTCAAAGCATTGCCTCCTTATTTACAAATTCACCATGTAGGCTTTCTCAGTGCTTTTATAAAAATACTATTCACATTTGTTGTTGTTGAAGTGTGTTAGATAAGATCTGGAGGGAAACCCCAAAGATTCTGTACATTTATACTGATTCCATAATTTAAAACACAAGAAATGTATGAATGACTTCCGTTTATGTGAGCAATGAATTGTGCAATTCAACTAAACAACTGAAAAGTTGCGGCTAGCGTGACAAACGTGTTAAATATTTGCAGGAACAAACACGATAGTGGTGAAAAAAAATCATACAAGTTCAAGTCTTTTTTTTCCTTGAAGAAACACATCCTTGATAATATGGAGAAAAAAACTTGGTTACATAAGGTACTATACATTAAAAAAAGACTTCAGTAATAAGAGCTCCCAGTTTGTGCTACTGAATTCAGTAAAAAAAATCCGCCGACTTCCTCCCGCGCTGTCCACTTCCCGGACAGACGTTTGAATATACTGTTTTCAATGAAGTGATAAAAAGATGGAGGGCAGTTGGACACTCACGTCGGGTACCATGCAAGGTGAAAGTGTACTATACATTAGACTCTTATCGCACCCAGTATGGTAGGTATGAAATATCAAAGGGTTCACTTCAGAACAACATGGCTACATGCCTCTGCACCTTGGCGTGGACGAAAATAACACGAAGAGTGATCGGTCGTAACGCATGATGTCACGGTTTAACTGCTGTCGACCTTATTCACATGGCAGCCACTTTCCTTTGACATAAACAGCTGAAATTTTATTTAAAGGGACAGTTGTTTTTTATTTTTTCGGAGTAGGGTTGTATTATATAAGGGTAAAGATTCAATCGGAAAATGGGCGATGGGCCGTCCATCAAAAATATCAAAAAAATCTTAGTTAATATACTTTTAACCAGATTGAAAAAGGGAACTATTATTACCTTTAATGCCAGACTTCAGTGATCTATGTTGCTAATTGTATCAGCATCTAGCTAGCTAAAAATACTTATTGTTAAAAAAAAAACTTAATAAATAAACAAATGTATAGAGAATAGACAGTAAAAGGGTGGATACTGTAGCTGAATTCTCTTGTGAGCTTTTTCTGATGGTAGCTAATAGGTTGTTCGCTTTGGTGGTATTATTTTAGCCATTAACAACATTATGTAAACCGCGTATGTGTAATCTCAATGACTATCCATCGGCTTACAAAGCAGAGTTTGAGCAATGTCTGCCTGCACATTGGAAATGCTGGCTCATCCAAACTTTTGGTCGATTTTGCAAGAGGCAAAGAGACGGGCCTTTCGCCTCCTCGTTAAAAGCAAAAATGCGCCGTTCTATCAGTCAAGGTAACCAACTTTTCCAAAACTAATAATTTATATCAAGAAATTTATATTTGTACCAAACCATACTCTTTCGTTGTAAAAATTGTCATTTTAAGATGGATGTTAGTGGAGTTTTCTAAGTTTTTGGGGCCACCCTCTAGTGGACACTCAAGGTACTACAGTTTGAAGCACTTTTCACTCTCTGTTGTTTTTCCTGTTGCTTTTTCTTTATTTTAAACCCGATAAAGCCATCAAATCCCTAAAGCCATCAGTTTTATTAAATAAAATATATAACTGTAGTTTAGGCCCCCATCTTTAGCGTAATGTCAAGGAAAAGTGGCTGTTATCTGGATATGGCGTCTATTTGGCAGAGAATGGTCATGGCTGTGACAGATAGCAGCAGGTTACAAAGGCAGACGCCAAGGCAAAATATCTTTGAAACAAGAAAGGAGGAATTCAACTACTTTTTGGCGCTTCTGTAGAATTCAGCAAGGCTTTTGGGTGACAGGAACAACCCTGGATGAACTCACTGAGACTGGGTTGTCTTGCGAGGAAAATCAAAGATAGATAGATCCAGTTTTCTGAAGAGTAAATGAAGCTGTTTGTCCTCAACAGTGTTTCAGCTTTATCTTTTCTTGATTCATCATATATTTTGCCCAGATCTGCGGTCTAATTTAGGCCAAACATCGAGGAGTGTGATGCCTTTTCCCCCTCCATCATGCTTTTTTTTTTTTTTTCCTGTATCAAAACCCAGATTTGGAGGCTGCTTCCATCACTCTGTATAAACAAGCTCAAACACATCATAAATATTTCACATTGATATTAAATGCTGTCTTCATTTCATTGAATCAGAGCTCCAAACGGGACTACAAAATACTCCTTCATGAAATAGTTAGACCATCATCAAAGAAGTGTTATAAATACTGTCTAAAGCAAACACTAAACAAGGACATTCGCCAAGCTGGTCGATACCACTTAGAATTTGTCTTCCTGAACTCCTGGACTAAAGGCGTTTGCTTTCTGAAGTGGTAAAAGTCCAGATGAGCGAGCTCAATATTTCAGGAACGAAGGGCGGAAATCCTTTTCTTTCCACCCACGAGTTTGATCAAAGTGCTCCATGGGGAGGACGAACATGCGCAGCATGGCTGGCACTCACACGGACGCAGCTTCCACACAAACACACGAAAACATTAAAACACATGAAATGAACAACCTAACAGTCGCACATAAAGCGGTTGGGAAAACTCGCCGGGGATTCTGTCGTATCAACCGAACTGAGATGTGATTTTCATGAAGTATTGCAAAGGGATCTCTGAGGCAAAACAGGGTTACAGGGTTTTCTGTCTTGATCTTGTCAGTTTGGAAAGCAACGTGGTCTTTTTCCACCCACAGTTGTTTTAAATCCGTATGGCTTGGGGGAGGGAATAATGGCTGTAACACCAGTGCTTTTAGCAGCATCGACTGGCAGACCGCCCGCAGAGGCATCAGTAGTTTTATGATCCACGTAAGAGTGAAAGTGCCATCAGGGCTCGTTTGGAGATCTCGAGAGAATAACTCAGTTGGGTTACTTTTGAAAATGCCAATCTGTGCTGAGAGGATCCAAACTTTCTGAGAATCAAAGGCTTCGTCAAACAACAGCATCAGTAATTGCACTGATTAAACCCGGGGTTACTAATTGACAAGTAACTGCAGACGTCTTCCACATTGATCCAACTCTATGATCCTTTTCGAACCTTAACTAGGTGGTTTTAGCGCCCAAATATTGCAAGAAGTAGTTTTAATCTGCAGCACTACGTGGATACCCATCCCATGACCTAGTGGTGGAAACTGTGTATCGTTAAGTAAACCAACTCTACATTCCTGACTTACATCTAGTGTTAGACCAACTCCGGGTGGCCAATTTCAATTATGTTTGATAGGTCTAAGTCACCAAAGTGGTCACGTTCCATAAGCGCTAAAATTTGGTACATGTTCTGACAACACTTTCTGACGTTAAGAAGAAATAGATACCTTAAAAATTGCTGAAATTCTGCCGCCATTTGGACGCTAATGACACTCTTGATTGATATTAACTGCAATCATATCAGAAAACCTTGTTGCAGGTCTTCTTGCCGTTGCAGGGTCTACTCCTGATTGGCACTGATGCGGCTGTCGAACTTGATTTCTAGCGCCGCTCTTTTTCATGGATATCCCACTGCAGTCTAAGCAGCTTGCTCATACTTGAGTACACGCAATCCTCCCATTCACACTGATAAAAACGCACACGCATACACTTATATAGTCTTTTTTTTTCTGTGCTCGGCTGGTGCTGTCTTGCTCATTCCTTGAGGTCTTCATTAAGAAGCTTGCATGAACTTTCTATCTCCTCCCTGCAGATTTTTCCCCTCCTCTATCACTATCTCTGTCTATGATCAACATTTTTAGTTTGGCTGCTTTATGGATGGCCTTATCAAACTATTTAGCAGATACAGCAGTTTGTCTGACTAGCCTCGCACACCCATTACTCATGTAAGTTCGCCTCGAGAACCAAAGGGAAAACCAGTGTGTGAAACTCCTACTTTCCAGCTCTGCAACCAGTGTTTATAAAATGTTAACAGTGTGATATTCCCTTGTTACCTTTGGCTCGAAAAGAGCTAGCTTATCCTAGAAGACAGCAGTCAAACAAGAAAAACAAAACAGCAGTGAGTTATACGCAAGTGAAAGAGTCCGTGATTAAACTACAAGTGTAAAAGGAGGAGTCATTGTAGTTTTGTGGCCATCACAGTATCACAGTTACAGTAAAAAGATGAGATGAGTTTTACATATTCAATGATAAATTCAAGAACGTAATGTATGTACCAAACACGAATAAACTGGGTCGGATTGATCAGCTTTCAGTGCCCCGTCTTTCCTTGAAGTCCTGACAAAACCTTTCAGTCTTTTTTTCCTCTGTATTTTGCCAGTTCGTCTCTTTTGACAAGGTCACCCACCAAACAAGACATCTTGACATCAAACAGGCTGTACTTTGCTCTGTCTGTTTGCTTATTTCTGAAACCCTCAGAGGAGAATTGCTCATCCTCAGACCTCCGTACTTGAAAAAAAGAAATAATAAAAAATCTTGTTCCTCTCATGAATCTGACACCGCAGTGGCTGGCAGTGAGTTCAGTTCCCCAGAGTTGAATCCATCTTATTTGACGCCCATTGTGGTCTACCTTGACGGGACGACACGGCATGTCCTTGGCTGTGTGACTACCATTCGCCAAAAAAACCACCGTAACCTTCACATTCTCAGTGACATGGAGTGCAGTCTCTATCTACAGAACGAAAAATGGACTGGGTCGGGTATCGTGAAGGTTAGAGAGTCTGAGTTGGGTCTGCTTGCTTCGGTTCAGTCCACCTCCTTCTTATGTTGCTACACTCTACAGCAGATGGTGCGGTATTTGGAAAGAGTTTAGGGGCGGCTCTAGGTGTGGCTGCTCCCCTTTTGGTGTGGAACAGTGGAACCGGAGAGGATTTCAGGATTGCTGGAGGCTAGATAGGAGAAAGTTCGCCAAGTGGGACGATCTACACCACAGTGTTCCGCTGCCGGTAGGGCGGCGGTGGCAAAACGGTACCAGATTTCAAGGAAAACTCTGACATGTATTCAGGGTTTTCAGCTAGAGACGGCCGTATATGTCCGTTCTGCTTATAGAAGAGCTTGGCGTTGGTGGACCCTCCTTGGGCGCCATCTGGAAGTGCCTGGTTGGTTGTTTTGGGGGGCAAGCTGTGCTGCCAGTATTCCGGATTGTCAAAGGTCACCTTTAGCTTCTTTCCGGTGGCTTTACCTGACGTTAGACCCCCGTGCTTCAACAAGCTGGCTGGGTGAGATGTGGCGTGGCTCTGGTAGGCTGGCAGGCTGCCGTGCCCGATGGTGGCCGAAGTGGACAGGGTGCCTGACTGGCACACCTGGGTTTGGGCAGAAGTTCCTGTTTGGCTCAGGATGGCAGATGCGCCACCTGGATTGCCAGGTTGTCCTGCAGGTTTGATGGTATGGTGAGGGTGGAGGATGTGGGTCGGTGGGCCGTGGTGGCAAGCAATGCCAGATGGAGATGGCTGTGCTGAGGGGAGGGGGTAGTGTGGCAGGCTGGTCTGGATGGTAAGCGGGAGGTGGGAGCCTGAAGTCGTGGCTGAGATAGAAGAAGGAGGCTGGCTGGGCAGTGGCAGACCATTTCTCCTCAGGGCCTCCAGACCCAGCTCAGCAGGACTGTGGAAGGTGTTGAGGTAGAGGGGCTCGTTGATGTACTCATCCTCTCCTTTGGGCTGGCTGTTGGGTGTGCTGTGGTAACCCGGGTTATCCAGTGCATGGATTTCCCCGTTCTTACGCCTTGAGACGAATGGGTTTTCCTCAATAGGGTTCAGGTATTCTGTAGCACAGATCAGGAAAGACAGACAAAGAGAGAAGGAAAGAGAGAAAAGGAAAAAAGGGAGTTTGTGAGAGAATAAGAACAAAAGAGCCACAGAAATTAAATCAATAGGGTGAAAACAAAAGAAAGAGAAAATAAAAGAGCTTAAGAGAAAGAGATGACTCAATAATAAGATGGAGATGAAGATGGTAATGGTGATAATGGCAGCCACTCAGGACCAGGCGGGCAAGTTGCCAGTGGTCCTCTGGCAAAAGAAACTCCATCTGCCAGGGGTGAAAATGCCAGCAAATGACCCCTCTTCACTGCTTCCAAGCGCGATAATAGTGGGGTGCGAAACCTATTGATTTTGCCCACTCTTCTGCTCCTTGACATTGCATCAGATGCATTTTGCTGCAGGCTTTGTTATATTTTTGAGCTGCTCGGGAATCAAAGACGGTAGTGCGAGAGCAGGGGCTGATGGACCGAATTATGATCAAAGGCGAAACATGACTCTGTAGTGGCTGACATGCCGCGCTGATGGAGACTCCGCAGGAATTTTAATCAATGAGATGGAGCGAAATGAACGGGCGGAATATGCTACATGTGTTCAGATTTACTCTCTGGATGAGTGAAGGGATGACAAGAGCAAAGAAAAGGTGTAATGGGTGAATGTAATGGATGTGCTTGTTTTACAGTCAAATTTTGAGTCACTCGACTTGTTCAGCTGTGCATCTTCTGTTCCCATGGCAACTACAACAGCGAGGAAATGATGGAATAACCCACCTGATGAACTCTTATCCTTCATGGGTGTCATGTATCCGTCCTCATCCGTGTCCCCTCTGGATGCCCTGTCTCCTAGGAAGATGGTGGGGTCAGCGCTGTATCTCTGGCCCCCGCTGTCCTCTACCCCTGCCTGGGCGAGACTCTTCTTATGCAGACTCCCGTTGCAGCGCTGGTCCTCCAGTGCTGGAACCGACCCGCCTGTGGCTTCCTGGTTCGAACAGGCTTGGGCACCTGCTGAGGAGCCTTCTGCGGGGTTTGGACCACCGTCTCGGTAGCCAAACTGGTTCTGGAACAGAGAAGATGAAGGATTTACTTTCATGTGGACTGGGGCTCCGATTTTGTGGTAACTAAGGCTGAGAAAAAGTTTATCACAATATATTTTTTCTTATCAGTTAATATCGATATATATCATGATATAAAAAAAGAAATTTAACAGTACTTATTGGTAGCATGTCTTTTGCAACACAATAAGCTACTGCATCTGCGAGGTCTTTGTGTCTCTTTGACGTTTTGTCGTAAGC